GGGGTCTTTCGTGGGTGATATCCCCTATGTCTGAACTATTCAAGGAGAATATGAGATCCAGCCTTGCTGCAACATCCTCTCCTCTCTCTCTGGTTGTATCCCTAACATGTTGGTGCATGAAGTTCTCCAATACAGTCTCCAACATCTTAGCCCTGCATGTTTCTGGTCCCCCATGGGGCTCTAGGTTTTCCCAGTCAATCTCTATGATTGAAATTCCCCATTATAAGCAATTTTGTCCTACCCATATGAACCCTCCTGGCCACTTCAGCTAGTGTATCCACCATTGCCCTATTGCGCACATCATACCCTTCTCTTGTTCTCCTGCTGTTAAGTGGTGGGTTATACATCACTGCTATCACCTTTGGACCCCCAGTTTGAAATGTTCCTACAATGAAGTCATCTGTTTCCCTTCTTTCCATTCCTCGCATCTCCTCATAACTCCACTGGTTTTTTTATGAGCAATGCTACTCCTCCCCCTCCTCTGTTCTCTCTGTCTTTCCTCATAATTTGATAGCCAGGTGGAAAAATTACATCTGTTATCCCTGTAAGTTTTGTCTCTGTTAGTGCTATGATGTCAGGTGATGCATCAGTGATGCGTTCTTGCCACTCTTCACTCTTATTTGTTATTCCATCTGCATTGGTGTACCATACCTTTAGCTTCCTTTCCATTACTGTATTTTGGGAGATGGAAGAGGAAGGTGCGGGCTGGGAGGGTGCGAGGCAGGGCACAATATTATGGGAGGCTGCTGTGATTGTGGAAGTAGTGCTTAGGGAGGTGGTGGCTAAGAAGTGAGGTTTGTGCTTACTGTGTTTGGTTGATATGTGGTGACAGGGGTAGAGAGGTTTGATGTTCACCCAAAGGCTGAGCTTTCCTGTCTGTCGTTGCCTGTCCTGTCTCTCTTTCCTTCCACTGGTTTTGTCTTGCTCTCAAATTTCGTTGTTCCCTTTCCTTTCATGTTCTGTCTCGAGTGAGGAACACTTTTTGATAATCTGGAGAGTCCTTTAACAGTGGTTTCTGTTGTAGTATCCTGTTCCATACCACATCTGTCTTGAATGTTAATCTGATTGGTTGATTTTTTTTCCCTCGAATACCCCCCAAGTCTGTGAAAATTTTCTACCTGAGACATGTCCTTCTCTCCTGTTATTGCAATGATGTTTTTAATCCCTGTTTTCTCCCAATGCTTTCTTTCATCATAGGTCTGCCCTTCAGCCTCCTGAAGCCCATGAATAATTATTGACCTCTCCTTCTCCTCTTACCAATTCTTTTCCCTCTGTATCTCTGGATCTGATTTAAGCATCTCCTTTGCTGTTTCCCTAATCATCTCCCAGACACCATGATGGCCTGATATTACTGCTGCAAAAGACTGCTTAGATCCATCTCCTCCTTCAGTCCCCTCGCTGCCTGCTGATGTTCCCATTTCAGTCATCATGCTCCTTTCGGACCGCATCTTTAGATCCTGCTTCAGCACATCCATTTCTTCCTCCAATCTCTGTATCTTTGCCTCAGCTATTACAGCTCGTGATTCCCACTTCTTGCTCTCTGCAGATATTTGCTCTAACATGTTATTGCAAAGCTTGTTTAGCCTTTTCTCCCATTGTTGTTCCATTTTGTTCTTGAGCCGTTCTACCCATTCTTCCTTTTCCGACCAGCCATCATCGGTTTCCTTGCCCTTACATCCACCCTTTTGAGATCCCATTTTGTTTTTATCCCGTTGGGATGTTCTAACTGTTTCAGCTTATTGTAAAAATGTGCGTGTGTGGTGGGGGGATTTATGAGCTAATGTGTTAGGTTAGGTTTGTGTGTGTGTACTCACCTAGTTGAGGTTGCAGGGGTCGAGTCCAAGCTCCTGGCCCCGCCTCTTCACTGGTCACCATTAGGTCACTCTCCCTGAACCGTGAGCTTTATCGTACCTCTGCTTAAAGCTATGTATGGATCCTGCCTCCACTACATCTCTTCCCAAACTATTCCACTTCCTGACTACTCTGTGGCTGAAGAAATACTTCCTAACATCCCCGTGATTCATCTGTGTCTTCAGCTTCCAACTGTGTCCCCTTGTTGCTGTGTCCAGTCTCTGGAACATCCTGTCTTTGTCCACCTTGTCAATTCCTCTCAGTATTTTGTAAGTTTTTATCATGTCCCCCCTATCTCTCCTGTCCTCCAGTGTCGTCAGGTTGATTTCCCTTAACCTCTCCTCGTAGGACATACCTCTTAGCTCTGGGACTAGTCTTGTTGCAAACCTTTGCACTTTCTCTAGTTTCTTTACGTGCTTGGCTAGGTGTGGGTTCCAAACTGGTGCCGCATACTCCAATATGGGCCTAACGTACACGGTGTACAGGGTCCTGAACGATTCCTTATTAAGATGTCGGAATGCTGTTCTGAGGTTTGCTAGGTGCCCATATGCTGCAGCAGTTATTTGGTTGATGTGCGCTTCAGGAGATGTGCCTGGTGTTATACTCACCCTAAGATCTTTTTCCTTGAGTGAGGTTTGTAGTCTCTGGCCCCCTAGACTGTACTCCGTCTGCGGTCTTCTTTGCCCTTCCCCAATCTTCATGACTTTGCACTTGGTGGGATTGAACTCCAGGAGCCAGTTGCTGGACCAGGTCTGCAGCCTGTCCAGATCCCTTTGTAGTTCGTGTGTGTGTGTGTGTGTGTGTACTCACCTATTTGTACTCACCTATTTGTGGTTGCAGGGGTCGAGTCACAGCTCCTGGCCCCGCCTCTTCGCTGATTGCTACTAGGTCCTCTCTCTCCCTGCCCCATAAGCTCTATCATACCTCGCCTTAAAACTATGTATGGTTCCTGCCTCCACCACATCACTTTCTAGGCTATTCCATGGCCTGACTACTCTATGACTGAAGAAATACTTCCTAACATCCCTTTGATTCATCTGAGTCTTCAACTTCCAATTGTGACCTCTTGTGTCTGTGTCCCATCTGTGTGTGTGTGTGTGTGTGTGTGTGTGTGTGTGTGTGTGTGTGTGTGTGTGTGTGTGTGCGTGTGTGTGTGTGTGTGTGTGTGTGTGTGCCAGGATAGTTTACCCAGCATGATAACACTGGCTACACAGTGATGGTGTAAGACATGATCAACAGCCTCACAGAGAGACGCACCGTCTGTGGACGGTGCGTCTCTGTCTCACAGCCAGGATAGACGGTTTACCCAGAGTCATAACACTGTCTACACTGTGTTGGTGAGGAACAAGATGAAGAGCAGGACACCACCACCTGCCCCGCCCACCACCACCACCTGCCCCGCCCACCACCACCACCTGCCCCGCCCACCACCACCACCTGCCCCGCTCACCACCACCACCTGCAGAGCCCACCACCACCACCTGCCCCGCCCACCACCACCACCTGCCCCGCCCACCACCACCACCTGCCCCGCCCACCACCACCACCTGCAGAGCCCACCACCACCACCTGCCCCGCCCACCACCACCACCTGCCCCGCTCACCACCACCACCTGCAGAGCCCACCACCACCACCTGCCCCGCCTACCACCACCACCTGCCCCGCCCACCACCACCACCTTGCAGAGCCCACCACCACCACCTGCCCCGCCCACCACCACCACCTGCCCCGCCCACCACCACCACCTGCCCCGCCCACCACCACCACCTGCCCCGCTCACCACCACCACCTGCCCCGCCCACCACCACCACCTGCCCTGCCCACCACCACCACTTGCCCCGCCCACCACCACCACCTGCAGAGCCCACCACCACCACCTGCCCCGCCCACCACCACCACCTGCCCCGCTCACCACCACCACCTGCCCCGCCCACCACCACCACCTGCAGAGCCCACCACCACCACCTGCCCCGCCCACCACCAACACCTGCAGAGCCCACCACCACCACCTGCCCTGCCCACCACCACCACCTGCCCCGCCCACCACCACCACATGCCCCGCCCACCACCACCACCTGCCCCGTCCACCACCACCACCTGCCCCGCCCACCACCACCACCTGCCCCGCCCACCACCACCACCTGCCCCGCCCACCACCACCACCTGCCCTGCCCACCACCACCACCTGCCCCGCCCACCACCACCACCTGCCCTGCCCACCACCACCACCTGCCCCGCCCACCACCACCACCTCCCTGCCCACCACCACCACCTGCCCCGCCCACCACCACCACCTGCCCCGCTCACCACCACCACCTGCCCCGCCCACCACCACCACCTGCCCCGCCCACCACCACCACCTGCCCCGCCCACCACCAACACCTGCAGAGCCCACCACCACCACTTGCCCTGCTCACCACCACCACCTGCCCCGCCCACCACCACCACATGCCCCGCCCACCACCACCACCTGCCCCGCCCACCACCACCACCTGCCCCGCCCACCACCAACACCTGCAGAGCCCACCACCACCACCTGCCCCGCCCACCACCACCACCTGCCCCGCCCACCACCACCACCTGCCCCTCCCACTACCACCTGCCCCGCCCACCACCACCACCTGCCCCGCCCACTACCATCACTTGCCCAGCCCACCACCACCACCTGCCCCGCCCACCACCACCACCTGCCCCGCCCACCACCACCTGCCCCGCCCACCACCACCACCTGCCCCGCCCACCACCACCACCCTGCCCCGCCCACCGCCAACTGCCCCGCCCACCACCACCACCACCACCTGCCCCGCCCACTACCATCACTTGCCCAGCCCACCACCACCACCTGCCCCGCCCACCACCACCTGCCCCGCCCACCACCACCACCTGCCCCGCCCACCACCACCACCTGCACTAATTTTATTTCCTTCTAAACAGTCTTCTTTATCAAGTGTGATGTCTGTTCTTACACACATCAACTGGTGAAGGTCAGAGGTGTTGTCGGTGTTACACTGTGCTAGCAAGAACAACCTGGCAGTGTTGAGTGTTTCCTTGTGTTTCACCTCCACTGAGTTCCCTTCCTCCCCACCATCATTATTACTATTAATACTTCTATTAATACTTTCTCATTTGACGCATTTTGTGTCCACAGAACGGGCTCTGGAAATGCCTCTTCCGTCAGAGTGAAGCTGCCGTCCCAGAGGTGAGACAGGTAGGTAGTACCTATCCTCTGAGACAGGTAGGTCGTACCTATCCTCTGAGACAGGTAGGTCGTACCTATCCTCTGAGGCAGGTAGATCGCACCTGTCTTTCACACCTGATTCATACTTGCAGTATAGTCATATGTGTTGTCTGTTAAGACGCCATGAAGCTGAGAATGTTTCACCTGTCAGGTCTCTAAGCTGGGTCGTCTAGGGCTGGACGCTGCCAAGCTGGGGTGCTGCAGGCAGGCTGTGTCTGTGGAGTGTCGTGGGCTGTGTGTGCGAGCCTTCTCCAAGGAGTGGGGCAGGTCCTGGGACGCCCTACACACCTCCTGCCTCACACGCCCACAGGAGGCCACCCTCTTCGCCTGCCTGGCGGAGGCTGACGCCCCCTGCCAGCAGGGATGCTCTGGCCTCTCCTTCTGCAGCAACTTCAACAACAGACCCAACCAGCTCTTCCGCTCCTGCAACTCCCGCGCCGACGCAGCTGCGCAGGAGGATCTGCAACTTTGGCAGGAGAGTTTGACGCTGAGTCTACCAGGACTGGCTGCCACGGTGCCACTCAGAAGTGTCAAGGAGTGCCAGGGAGACCTGTGGAAGGCCGTAGCCTGTACCCTACACCTGCGGCCCTGCCACCCTACCACCCTAACTAACACTATATGCTGGAACGACTGTGTTAGACTACTATCAAGGTCAGTACTGTGTCAGACTACTCTTAAGGTCAGACCATAGTGCTAAACTCTTCTCCAGGCTGAGGGACTGACAACTTCAAATACAATTTCTCCAAGGTTGATGGACTGTTGACATCATCTTCATTTCACCACTACACCTGCTGCCTCTAGACTGAAGAAGCCTACTATGTAGGCTATCTATCTGTAGATTCTAGGTAAGACCCCAAGAAGGGGTGAGATGGGAAGTGGGGATAGAGGAAGAATAGGTTGGTTAGAGGAAGGGTTCTTGTAAGAGGGAAAGAACCAGGGCTTAACCCAGTAGCTGAGCTGAGGGTGATTCAGGAGGTCGTGCGCAACTTGGGGACTGGAGGGGGGGGAGGGGAGGGGGGGGGAGGGGGGGGAAGTGGAGGAGGGAGGGGGGGGCGACAAAGCGTGAATCGCAGGTACAAGGGCGAGAAGTTTGAGTAATAAAGGTACGCGACTGTTGCAAGTGTCTCCACCATCAACTTGTACATATTTTACACCATTTTCAGTATAAGAGAAGCTGTGCACAGGAGACAGAGGAGAATGATGGTAGTAGAAGAGAGAGACAAGCTTAAATAACGTAATATACATAACTACATATGTATATACAAGTCATAATGTCTACTAACATACATACACCAGCCTGTGTATAACCAGTCTTATACATGAGAGAGGACAAACACGCACTGACACACACATGATATGTATGAATCGCGAACAAGCGATACAAGATGCAAAACAACCAATGGGGGAGTTGAATGATAGCTCTCGGCCTTTCATGTGGCAATCAGCGCATCATCAGGGGCTTACAATATAGCAGAAATGAATAAAAAGTCTCAGCAGATTCGTTCAGAGGGACGCTCTTGCGTCCCTCTGAACGAACCTGCTGAGACCTTTAACTCATTTCTTCAACATTGCAAGCTCCTGATGATGTGTTGATTGCCACACGAAAGGCCGAGAGCTATCATTCAACTCCCCCATTGGTTGTTTTGCATATACACACATATATATATACTCGATCCCTACACCACATATAGGTGAGTACACGTATATACATTCATACGTATATATAAACATATACACACACAAATGTATATATCTATATGTGTGAATATATATATACATTCATACATATACACACACATACATATATACATGCATATTTTCACATTGTTCTGTTGTTTGGTGGGGGGTTGTATACACCACTAACGTTAATACTGTACTTGCTGTGTATGTTTTATACATTGTGTATATGTTGTGCTGTGTTGCAGGTGTTGATTGTTACATGTTGCAGGTGTTGAGTGTTACATGTTGCAGATGTTGAGTATTATGTGTTGCAGGTGTTGATTGTTATGTTTTGTAGGTGTTGAGTGTTGCGTGTTGCAGGTGTTGAGTGTTACGCGTTGCAGGTGTTGAGTGTTGCAGGTATTGAGTGTTACGTGTTGCAGGTGTTGAGTGTTGCCAGTGTTGAGCGTTGCAGGCTTTGAATGTTACGTGTTGCAGGTGTTGAGTGTCACATGTTGCAGGTGCTGTGTTTTACGTGTTGCAGGTATTGATTGTTACGTGTTGCAAGTGTTGATTGTTAAATGTTACAGATGTTGAGTGTTGCAGGTGTTGAGTGTTACAGGTGTTGAGTGTTTCAGGTGTTGATTGTCACAGATATTGATTGTTGCAGGTGTGTGCGCGAGCCAGCAGCAGCAGGGGCAGCAGCAGGGGTGGTGGGTGGTGAGGGCGGTGTTACAGCAGGGGCAGTATGTGACGCCCTCAGTCCCCTGCCAGGGAGCCCTTGCATCTCCCTCACCCCTTTTCTCAACCCTTCCCCCCTGCCCAACGAGGCACCCTGGAGGGCGCCCACCACCCCCTGCCGCCACGCCCCCTGCCCCGCCCGCCACCTCTGCCTGGTCGACAGGGAGTGTGGACCTGGCCGTCCCTGCCGACCCTACCTCTGTGTCCCTGCCTGCACCCTGGGTGAGGTCTCCAGTGTGGCTGTCCCTGTTGGTGCCTTCGTCAGCGTCCCCTCCAGGTAGGTACCTGGTCTCCCTCCTCTTCTCCCCCCTCCACATCAGTGCATCATGTACAACCTCCCTCCCTCTTGTGACTACAGTGTGCTCCTTCATAATGACCAGCGGTATGGTTCTCACGCCCATGCCTCCTCCTGCCTCTCCTGCAGCGTAGGGGCGTCGGGATGTGGGCGTGTGTGTGAGTGTGGGCGTGAGGGCGGCCTGGGGCGGTGTCGCTACCTGCCTTGTGTGGATCCCGCTCCCTGCTGGCTGGCTACCTCCAAGATTGGTAAGTACGCAGCCAATATATATATATATATATATATATATATATATATATATATATATATATATATATATATATATTATATATATATATATATATTATAATATATATATATGTCATGTGTGGGGGGTTTGATTACGTGGATTGGGTAAAGGAAAGTCACATAGACAATAATGGAGTATAATTATAACGGAATACATAGAAAGCACCAGGCCCGCCCTGCCTCTCTGCTCTCTATCTTAAAACTGACTCACTAGTGAAGCCTAGGGGTGAGCGGTGTTCAAAAACATGCTATAGTCAGCAGCAACATGAATAACAGTCAGTGATTCATGCAGACGGTTGGTAGTGAGTCATACTACTGGTAACTGGTTACTGGTAAGTGGTACTACTGAGAGCTCGGCGACGTTAACATATGTCGTCCTGACATACAGCTAATACAAACTAGAGATGGCAGGTGTACGGCTTGGGCTGATTCTATACAATGGCAAAGTACACAACAATTGAACATTATAACATACATAAGGAAAATATTGGAATGGAAGCTAATGTAATTGACTATAATGAAACTTACTGTAATGAAACTGTAATGCATTACAAGGTATGATACAGCACAACTCATAGAATGAGACTCAACATTGGGATTACACAATAGAAGTGATAAAAAAAATAAACTTTGATCAATCGATCGGTATTCATGTGGTCTACGGATTCTGAGGAAGAATATCTACAAAGAAAGAAGTGTTTAACAGAAAAGGCAGATTCGGTGCACTCAAATCTAGACTGTTAACTCTCAGAATTCAGAGAGAACGTGAACACAAAAAAAATTCTTGAATATTAATAAGTTGATACTGTAATTATTCATCTATACAGGTTATTTACATTTAACCCCAACTCTGCTAGGGTGAGATTGACATATGCAGAATGGGTGTCATCTCTGGGAGGATCAAACTTTGTTGCACTGGCTAACTCATGCTGTATTTGAGGCAAATCTGAATGGGTAGTTACAAATGATACTTGAGGATTTCTCAATACCTGTCGTGTATGTAGGGAATAACGACATTCAGGCTGATCATCTGACTGAGTCTCAGAGGTAGAGAGTACAGAGTCAGTAGGATTGTCAGAGTCTGTCACATTAGTCTGGGTTGGAACATCATTATCATCACATGCTAACTTCATATGATTCAAATGCGACTCTTTATGCTGACCAGTACTAATTTCTCTGACCTTATACTTATTGCTAAAGCTTCTTGCTCAGTTACTGTATGATTATGTTCAGCCCTCGTAAGGACTCGGCTAGCAAATGCAACTGCATTGTACTTGCCATCAGTCTTCTGAGCTAGTACGGCGCCTATGCCAATTGAACTAGCATCAGTTGTCAGATAGAAGGGCTTAGAAAAATTTGGAAATTTTAAAATTGGAGCAGATGTTAGCTTTTCTTTTAGAGTTTGGAATGCTCTTTCTTGACGGAAGGTCCAAATGAAAGGAGCATCTTTCTTAAGCAACTCAGTTAGAGGAGCAGCTATGGAAGAAAAATTGGCAATGAAAGATCTATAAAAACCTGCTAAGCCCACAAAGGATCTTACGGCATCAGCAGTTTTGGGAGTTGGAAAATTTAGTACTGCCATTACTTTACTTTGGTCAGTTGTAACACCTCTAGGAGTGATTACGTGACCAAGAAACTTGATTTCTGATCTTAAAAATTGACATTTAGACAGTTTGATCTTTAAATTGGCTTCAGGCTTACCAAGTACTATATCAAGTCTTTTCAAGTGTGTATCCACGTCTTTAGACATGAAGATTACGTCATCTAAGTACACCATAAGTGCGTTACCTATGAGACCTCTAAAGATATTAGTCATGAGCCTTGAGAACGTGATAGGTGGGGATCATAATCCAAAGGCCATACAGAGGAAGTGATAATGACCTGTAGGAGTGGAGAATGCAGTTAGCTCTTGGCTGTCCTCGTGAAGAGGGACTTGCCAAAACCCTTGTAACAAGTCCAGGGTCGAAAGACTTTGTTATCTTCGATGTTACGTAAAAGATCACCAAGTACAGGAAGTGGTAAGCGATCTGGAATAGTTTTAGCATTTAACTTCCTAAAGTCAATCACTGGGCACCAAGTACCATCCTTCTTAGGTACTAGGATCAAGGGTGCATTCCAGGGTGAATTACTAGTTGCAATAACTCCATCATCAAGCATTTGATTGATCAGTTCTTCTGCGACAGCAACTTGTGAATGAGGCATTCTGTACGCAGGTATATAGATAGGTCTAGTACCAGATTCAAGTGGGATATGATGGGATAATAAGTTCGTTATACCCATCTTCTCACCTGGTAAGGCTTTATGACGTTTGTTCAACAGAGTCAACAAACGCTTGACCTTGTCTGGGAAATCAGTGGGAGCTAAGTCTTTCTCCTCAACTGGTGGAACAGATTGATCCAGTGAAGTGGATGAGGTCTCCCTGGTAGAAATAGCACCGACCCACTGGTCAGGTGACAACTCATACTCTACCTGAACAGGGTAAGGATAGTGAACAAGGTCAACAAGATTGGTATTTGCTCTGAGACGAACACTGTGACCAGAAGTGTTAGCTAGGAAGAAATGGATCTTACTATCTCTTACAACATGTAAGGATGGCTCAACAAATAACCCTTTACTTTGCAGGAATCACTGTCAACTAGGACGTTATCAACATCTGGAACACTAGGAACAACAACAGACACTCTAGTGAGGGCACTAGCCGTGACAGAAACGTCTTTCTGCAGGGCAACATGTGG